CACTCACCTCAGCCTCCCAAAGGCGCGGGATTACAGGCTAAGCCACCGAGCCCGGCTAAATAGTGTAATTTCAAATGTACAAAACATAATTATAAATTTCTAGGATATTTTCCTCTCTGAAAGCTGCAAGTTTAAATAGGCAAGGATACACACACACACACACACATCTGTATATATATTTTTGAGTATTCTGCTATATAGAAGCAGTATAATTATTCCTTGTATAATTATCCTTTGAATAAGAGATATTTTAGTTTTGAATTTAGTATGTTTGATTTATTTAGATTTTGTAGGGGAATGTTTTCATCTTTAAATTTCTAAAGTAAGCATTTTCTTGAAATTATAAACTTTCTTAGATTATAGTAGTTGCTTTGGGCCCATGCTTAAATTAGTAGTCATGTTCTGGTTTGGTTTTGTTTTTTTTGTATAAGTGTGTTTTAATAACCTATGAGATTGCAGTTATACTTGTTTGAGCAAGATCTTAAGAATCTATCCAACTGAAGATGCAAAAATAATATCTATATAAGGAGCCCATTTAAATAAATGTCCTCTAAAAGAAGAAAAGACATAGCTGTGGTTAATGCACTTACTTTATATTTGTTAAATATAAATGTGGCACCAATAATCACAAGGGGAAAAAAGTCTGTGTTAAGTTGTTTTTCACAACTAGGATATTCTTTATTTAGCAGTTCTCCTTTTTTTTCTACTTTTCATTACTAGTTGGGTTTGTTTTTAGCCATCTCAGAGCTTAGAAATTTATCAGTTCTTTTCTTGGTACTTTGATACTTTTTTTGATACCTTGAAACATTCTTTGTGTCTGTCTTTTCCCTCATCTCTTTTTTTGGGGGCGGGATGGATTAGTGAAATCCACGGGAGTTTTCTTTTGAAGCTGGACTATTTGCAGATTCTCAAAAGTAGAACTGAAAAGATTTTGAAAAACTTTCCTAGTGAACTCTAGACAGTATTTTGTCCTTAAAGTAATTGCTGAATTCTCCTTATGTGCCTAGTGAAATACAAATGCAAATATTTCAGAAGTAGTTCTTGAGACTTCATGCTATAACTGTAAATTTGGTCATGTTAGAATGTAAAGCGTGCCACAATGGTTTTAGTCTATTCCAGCCGTTTTAGTTAGGATAAATGTACACTTTGACATTGTTTTCCATGACGAATGATATTGTATCCTAAGTTTTACAGCATGCATGTTTTAACTCCTGAATGAATTTATGCATTCTTAAATGTTCTCCATTCCCACCTGAAGTGTTTTGAAGCCTTGTTCTAAACTGATTATGTACTTGCTTGCAAGGTGTGATTGTTTGGAGCCTCCACGTGTCAGTGATTGCAGTGTTGTGCTCAGGAACAGAAGGTGCCTGGGCTTCACTGTGGGCAGGTAGTTAACACTGCCTTCTCTGTATGTGTTATTGTTGCCCTTCCAGCTCCTTCTGCCTATGACAGGGCTGAGTATGCCCAAGGTGTTTCTGTTGACCTTTCTTTCAACATACAGCAATATTAATGATTTTCACTAAATACTTTCTTTGTAACTTTTTCTGAAATAATTAACTTTTTAGGTTTAAAAAGAATAACCTTAAAGCACAGCTAGAAGTGCTCTATTAAACCGCTATTAAATGGTCTTGTGTAGTTGGTCAGTAACCTTGGATAGTGATAGACACAAAGTGTACCAATAAAAAAAAATTAGAAATTGATACTCATGTGAACAAGTATTCTTCCTTTTACACAACATGTAAAAATTTTTCAAAAAAAAATTAGTCGTTAAGGTATGGCGTCAAAACATTTGATACTTTGGTGTTTGTTCATATGGGTCTCCCTCCCTAACACATAGTATCTCTGTGGCCTGTTGTTACTCACTGTCTGGGTTAACCTACGGCTGCCTTGTTCCTGTGTTCCCTATTCCTATCTGGTGATTGTATTCTAGAACTGTGTGTTCTTCACTGAACCTTACATAGATATCAGTGTACTTGATATTTATTTTCTGAGCACATAGCATGTGCCTGACAGTCTTAAGTGCTGGGGATTAGTCATTGGACAGGTGAGGGTGCTGCCCTTATGCGCCTGCAGTCGGAAAGGCCAGAGCAGCAGTCAGCACACATCCATCATGGAAGGCAGCTTTACAGTGATAAACTGTGGGGAAAGGAACAGACTGACATGAGAGTCAGGTAGGATGTGGGTGATGCAGAGAGGGTACACAGGAGGGCTGACTGTGGCGGGGTGGGGGTATGGGGGTGGGGAAGGGTACTGAGAGGAGCCAAGTGAGGAGCATGCAGGTCAGAGCCAGAGCCACAGATGCAGAGGCTGTAGGCAGGTATTTGGCTGCCTTGGCTGAATGTGTGCTGGGCTTTGCTTCTTAGATGCTGAATCTTCAGAGGAAGGCGTGGCCAGGATGATTGTAATCGTGCGTGGTGTTCATGAGGTTAGATTTTTTTCCTCACTGTGATGCAAGGTAATGAAGGTAAAGGTAAAGGTGAGCTAGACTAGAGTGGTGCTAGTGAAGGAAAAGGATTAAAGTGGCAGATACCTTGGAGGTAGGATTTCTTGGATTTGCTCATGGATTAGATACAGGGAGGCGGGTGAAGGAGAAGATGATTGGAACTCCAATGCCTTGGTTTTGTAAACCTTAGAGAAGTCAAGAAACCTGAGTGAGTCACAGGGACAGGAACCCGAGTAGGCGGGGAGGGCCTTTGGGGAAGAACATCCCCTCCAGTGTGCCTCTTGTACCATATGTTCATGTGGAGGCATCACCAGGGCACCAAAGTTCTGGAAGAGCTCAGGGCTGGAGAGAAGTCCTTGGAAGGCAACATGTGGATGGTACTAAGAATGTGGACAGACCAGGAACTGGGGAATGGAGCAGTCAAAAGTCGACACTGAACCGAGGGCTAGAGAGGTAGCTGCAAGGGAGAATGAAAGCAAAAGAGGGAGGCTTCAAGGAAATAGAAGAACGTGTTTTGGGAAGAGAGCACCATGGCTTTTCCAGTGATGTGAAAGGTATAGTAAGAGGGCAGAGAAGTGATTGTTGGCTATGGCTCATGGTGGACCATAAAGAGGACTTGTAGTGGAGCAGTAGGGCGATTAGGATTGGAGTGGACTAAGTGGACAGGGAGTGAGGAAGCTGTGGTGGTAGGGAATGCTGGTAACTTTCAGGAAGCTTTGTCTTCCAGGGCAGTGAGAAGACAGGTCAGTGGAGGTGTTTTTCTTTGGGGGTGGCTATATGTGTATCTTCTTGTGTTTAATGGAAGTTACTAGGATTCGGTAGAATGAGAGAGGAGAACAGAACAAGCTAAAACCAATAGTCTTCACACATGAAATCTGTATCTAAAAATGAAATGAAAGAACACCCAAACATACACAGAAAAATAAAAAGTGTAAACAGTGAATTGCTGGGGAGGGACAGGTGCAGCTTCTTTGAGAAGGCAGAGATATAGGGTTCTCACAGTGAGAGGGTTGGCCATAAGAGAACATGAAACACTTTGGAGGAAGGCAAACCTCGAATTTTGATACAGATGGAGGAGGTTTTAGATTTGATAGGTCGAGTTAGCTCCTGTTCTTTGGCTTCAGGTTATTTTAGAGACCTTGAAGACAGTGTTTCTCAACTGTTGACATTTATGCTGGATAATTCTTGGTTGTTGGGGCTGTTTTGTGCACTGTAGATGTTTAGCAGCATCCTTGGCCTCTATACTCCATGTCTATAGCACATGGACACTCCCGTCTTGTTCCCAGACATTGCCACAAGCCCTCTGGAAGGGAACCGTGGGTCTAAGTGAGCTTATCAGGTGGGCATGAGTGACACTGCCACATGCTCCCTGGATGGGAACCACTGGTCTAAGTGAGCTTATTAGGTAGACATGAGGAGGGTTATGTTGGAGTGTGGGGTTGCACAGAGGGTTCCACAAAGTCAGCTTGATGAATGGAGAAGGGAATTTACATATGCGACCAGCTATACCCTTGTTCTGTGGAACTCATGTCCTTTTCCTTTTTTCTGAAAAATTCTACTTTAATATTCTGTATTTAGTGTTTGTTCTTGATTGTCTCACATTCCTATGGGTCTTAAACGACTCTGAAGTTCCTTTTAGTTTCTACTTTGGGAAGCAGTAGTTTATAAAACATATCAAGGGCACAGCGGTTCTCAAAATGCAGAAGAAGGAATGTTTCATAAACTAAGCTCCCTTGACAGTACATCACATATCTTAGAGGCAAGAGTCTGTGAAAGCCAAATGCACGATTAGTACTTGAGTGATGTTGTATATTTTACACATATTTGTAGCTTTAAAATAGTAACAGCAGTACTCTTATTTCCACAATAATTGGTTAGAAAAAGAAACTTGTAGAGTAAAAGATGGTACATTTTTACGATTCTTTGGCTTTAAACCACCTTCAGACTTTCTATTTTTAATTTTTTTCCCTGAGATTGAACTCTTGTCCAGTTTTAAAGTTTAACTTTTCAGTGATTCTCAATGAGGACATTACTGCCTCCTGGGGTTGTCTTGGAAATTGATGGGGAGTTTGTGTAATGTGTAATGAGTAAAAAGGGATAGGCGTAGCTGTTCTCTGACCTGTTGACCCATTGTTCTTCATTTGATGATCAAAAATCTTTTTAAAATTCTGTTTTGTAGCAGAATCAATCACTAAAGCACAACTCTCAGGAGCTAAGGCTTTGATTTTGTCCATACTCATTTGGTGCTTAGATCACTGATGAAGAGCTTTCAGTCCCTCCCCAGCAATTCACTGTTTACACTTTTTATTTTTCTGTGTATGTTTGGGTGTTCTTTCATTTCATTTTTAGATACAGATTTCATGTGTTAAGACTATTGGTTTTAGCTTGTTCTGTTCTCCTCTCAAAAGTACTTCTTGGATGTCCATCTAGGTGGCCAGTGTATGTAGGTCTCGTTTTTAATTTCTGCGAGTTGTTCTGTTATCAATGTACAATAATACATTTTACCATTTCTCCTCTGCACATTTAGATGGTTTCCAGTTTCTCTTTTTTTAAAAAAATCACACATCTTTTAAACAATACTGCCCTGAATATTGTTGAGTAAAAAGCTCTTGAGTAAAACCCAACACTTGTGCCTTAGTGCAGGCTGAACCTTCCCAAGATAGGGTTCTGCAAGTGACCTGATGTGATGCAGAGAGGTCAGCTTTCCAGAGTGCAGGGTGGGGGCCTCAGCTTCCTTTATTCTCTCTTCTTATTGATAGGGAAGAGTGGCCTTCCAGGTAGATAAACACTTTGGACTTGGGTGCCCAGTAGTCTGGGCAGAGTAGGTGTAGCTTGGTTATTGGGACATCCTAGTTGCTGGATGCCTGGAGACTTGGGGCCCCTTACACCTGTGAGTAATTGAAATTGGTGAGATTGCTTGGGAAAAGAGGGCCCTTTTGAGTTGTGTGTTGCTTGTAGGAACTTCTGAGGTAACTTGTTGGACAGAACTGCTTGTCTTTAAAACCTGAGCACTGTTATCTATCCTAATTTTTTGTGAATATTTTTAGGATGGATTCAACAAAGAAGGTCTAGATCACAGTCTGTCTTTCTTACTCTTACTGTATAGGAGATAACTTTTCTGCCATATGTTGACACTATTGGATATCATTGTTTTACATTTTGCCAATAGGTAGGTGAAAGGTTAGTATAATAATAGGTTTTTTTTTCACGTTTTATTAGTAAAGTGTAGTGATTGAGAAATTCCTTATTGTTGTCTTTTTCAAATGTATTTCTGGCCCTAGCCTATCTATTTTCTCAGGTGATTTTTAGAGTCAACATATTACTATACTTCACCTCCTAGCACAATGGAATTTCGACTTGCAGTATATATTAATTTTAAGATTATTTTGGGGGATTGTTATTTACAGTCTTTACATTTGGGAACCAGCGACTTCTCATTTATTTAAATATATCTTTTAATTTAGTTTTATTTATATAGTTAACATACATTTTTATTTGTCCTATTCTTAAGAGTATTTTTATAGTCCTTAATGATTGGAAAAATACTGTTTTTATTTATTATTTTTATAGAGACGAGGTCTAGCTGTGTTGCCCAAGCTGGTCTCGGGCTCCTGGGCTCAAGCAGTCCTCTTGCCTCAGCTTCCCAGAGTGCTGGAATTACATTCATGAGCTACTGTGCCCAACCTGGAAAAATACTGTTTTTACTGTGTATTGTATGTCCAGGTTTTGCATTTGTAGAAATTTGGGTTTTCTACATTTTTGGTCTTTTAGGCATTTATCAGCAAGAAATTTATAGATACTCATTGCTAAGGCCAAAAAAAAGGAAGAAAACCGACATTCTAAATATTTTTAGAGAATTAAATGTTGATAACCTTTCTTAGGAACATTTGGAGTATGATGTTGACACTGATTTGAACTCTTAAAGTGTTTATAAAAAAACTGACCTGGATTCTAATTTGTCATTAAATAGCAGTGATGGTTTCCTTAGACTCTCCAGGTTTAATTTTTTACAGCTACAGAATTTAGAGTATTAGACAAAAAGATTTGTCATTGAACCTCATTTCTGACTCAGTAGTGTACAGAGTTTTTTTCTATTTGAAAATATTAATTTAAATTTTATAAGTTTATTAATTTAAAGAACACTTGTGGGATGAATGCAGAGGAGTTAAGTGGACTTTTAGGTTTTTTTTTTTTAATGTGTAATATGCTCAAATATGTTCTTTCTAGCCGGGCTCGGTGGCTCAGCCTGTAATCCCGCGCCTTTGGGAGGCTGAGGTGAGTGGATTCCCTGAGCCCGTGGGTTTGAGACCCGCCTGGGCAGCGAGACCTCATCTCTACAGTAAATCAAAAAATCAGCCGGGCGTGGTAGTGCATGCCTGTGATTCCGGCTACTTGGAAGGCTGAGGCAGAAGGATCGCCGGAGCCCAGCAGGTCGAGGCTGTGGTGGCCGGGAGCGGCCACTGCACTCCAGTCTGGGCGACAGAGTGAGACTCCAACTCAAAAAAAAAAAAAAAAAATGTTCTTTCTAAAGTACAGATCAGATTTGTCACTCTGCATGAAATTTATCACTATTTTCCATTGCCCTTAGGACAAAGTCCGTTATGTTTACCATGACTCACAAGTCCCTCCGACAGATGCCCTTCTTCTTCCTCCCACCACCTGCTTCTCTTACCTTTCCAAGAACTCTGGTGAATCTATGTTTAGCTTCTGGCTGTTTTAAAAAAATGTTCCCTATGTGTTCCTTTCTCTCTCCTTCCTTCCTGCTGTTTTCTCTTGGCTTCCCTGAGAACCTGAGAACATCCATTCTTCCTTCAGGTCTTGGTTTAGTCATTTTTGGGAAGCCATCCGGGATTTTCAGTCTGACTTAGGTGCTTTTTGTCTGTTTTCCAAGAACTGTGTTGTTATCTTTCTTACATATTGAAATTTGTTTATTGTCATGTCTCTCATCCTTGAAGACATACACCATACCTTATTTGAATGGATGACAGATTTTAGAACTGATAGGCAGTCATATTAAAACTTGGCTATAATTGTTAGACAAATGAATGTTTTTGTTAATATTTCTGTTGTTTCCTTTTATCCCAGGGCTGGGCTAATGCTAATGTCAGCAGACAGATTGAAGACACTGTATTATATGGTTACTATAGTAAGTATCAGTTTTCTATTATATTTGGGTTGCTAACCAAAATGTAGAATAAAGCTACATATAAACTTTTACTTCTTATATCACATATGAGATTAGTGTTTTCCACATAAGGAATAAGAAATATGCATTTGTTCTCAAAAACCTGAAACTTCTTTAACCTACTTTACTTCATTTAAGTTCACTTGTAATACTTCTTTGTGGTGGATCAATCAAGTTCCTTTAAATACCATCTCTCTTCTTTCGTTACCATTACCAATTTCCCACACTTGCGCTCTTGCTTTAAAGCCTCAGTTTTCCAAAAAAATTTTCTGAGTTTTGCAAAGAGTAGAGTGTACTCTGGGGAATTTGAACTGTCAACTTTCTTGTACTCTACAGAGCCATTTTTATCCAGGGATTATGGTTGATTTCGTTCCTTCTCCTACCATCTCCCCCTTCCTTCCTTCCTAGTGTTAGATTATAAAACTTTATAATAGCCACTTAATGTTTCAAAATTTTTTCCTTAAGTAAACATGAGGCTTCAGTTTTTATAAAAATGTATGATTGCTGAGTTTGAAAAGGGATGTCTTTTTTCAACAGTAAATTAAGATGTTGAGTAAGATTTCAGCAGGACATAAAACTGGAAACAGAAAAAAGTCTAAAGAAGTTTCTATTGATGGAATACTTTTTAAAAGAGTTTCATTGGATTTTTATTTAGTTGCTTTGGCTTTAATGTTTGCCTTTTATTCAGCTCTAAAATCTACAAGACTATTTCGTTAGGGTAGATTTTAGATTTTCATGGGTCTTTAAAATATAATTTAATATTTTTGATGAATATGTTAAATAAAAATATAATTTTGGCCTATTAAGTTAAAACTTTTGAAATCATGCTATATTAAGTAAAATATTACCTTTTTAATATAAATTTATTGGAAGGATATAAATGACTTCTTCAAAAAGGATTTTGGGGAAGTGGGTCTGTCCCCTGTGTGACACTAAAGTGTGGCTATCCCATAGAACATGTGACAAAATAAGCCAACTTGTATGTTAGTGAAGTCCAGGCCATGAACCATATCTTATCTTTCAATCTAGAGGCCATTGGACTAATCCATTATAACTAAGGTCACAAAAGACTTGTAAACAAGAACATTAACTCATGCAGCCTTTTTCACTTGGTTCTGTGGAGAGAATTAAGCTTACAGAAAGGGACTTAGTATTTTTCTCAGTCTTCCCAAAGATAGTGTGTCAGTCCTCCCAGGATAATGTCCTTAATAAATGCATGGGAGAGAAGTTAAGCATTACAAACAGTAAATGCCTGGGGGGCGGGGAGGGGGGGAGGCTTAGGGCTTGATTCTCTATAGAACTTAGGTTAAAGTGAGAAATATAATTGCCTTGGGATAGGATAGTTGAGACAATGATCTAAAGAAGAAATTTGTTGAAAAAGCCAAATTATGAATAGAAGATTTCTTGATAACCATAGAATCAAAGTAAGATTTACTTGGGTCATGTTAATGGTTATTATAATGTTAGTTGCATCCTCTCAGCAATGGCTACTAGGCCTTGTTTTTGACTCTGTGTAGCCTACAGCTGGGAGCCTGAGTGAATTGCAAGACTTCTGAGATAATTACTATCCTCAAGCCTGGCTGTTTCTCTTGAAATGCAAGATACAATCTCACTGTCCTAGATGATTACATCTAATGTGTCTTCTCCTGGGTCTTGAGGACTGTAGAGTCCAAATCCAAAACACTGTTTTCATCTGTCCCCTCTATTAGAGTATGAGATGTCTGATCTGTTCTACATATCAACACATTTTCATTGTCTAACCTTGCCAGGAACTGTGTAAGACTTTCACATTTAAAATATTATTTAATTTATGTGAATAGCTCCCCCCTTTTTTCCTTGGTATTTTCTACTCTTTACAGATGAAGAATTTATTGCTGAAATATGTTTAAAAAAAATTCCTTGTTAGTGAGCGGCATGGCCCAAAGTAGATGTATTTTCTAAGCTAGAGCTTCATACCATTATGTAGAACTGCCTTTTACTATTAACAAATCATTCTGGGGATGTTACCTGTGGGAATGATAACAGCATTGAACCTCTGTTGAACCTTCAGAAATTATCTGGGGAGCTTTTAAGTAACACAGAGCTAGACTGTGTCCAGGGAGATTGTGACTTACTTTGGTGTGATAGGTAGATTGGGAATCTATTACTGAAAATTCATGGTGCTATTTCTGATTTTAGCACAGTCAGTAGTTTAGGTTATTGGTTTTTCATAAGATATCTCATGTGCATGTGTAATAAGAAGTTTTGAGGACAAAGAAGCTAAGCGTTGACTCAGTGAGACCACTTATGCTTTTTAATCGTGTTTTATGTTTGTTTTGAAAAGAAGAGCTTTCAGTTAAGAGATTGTTTGGCAATATTTTTTTCTAGAGTATTGAGATTAATGGTAGGTGCTTAATTGGTAATAACTTAGATTGTAAGCATATTTTCTTTCGAAGAATTACTGAGCAGGATTATTCCTATGCTTGTCTTTTTTTTTTTTTTTTTTTTTTTAGGTGCCATGTTAGGTACTAGTTTAGATGCCAGTTGTTTTTCTATAGAATAGAAACCGGTTAAAAAAAAAAAGGCTTAAATTCTTTAAGAGTTCTCCTAAAGCAGCCTTAGTCTTCTTCCTCAAGGAAAATGTTTGGAAGTGTTAACTACTTTCAAATTACTGGTTGAAATGTATATCCTTACTGCCTTTTTGTACTCCATGACATTAAAATCCATTGATTCATTTGGACTTGGAATGTATTTTTTACTCATGCACAATTTTTGACATTATGCCTAATTCATTTGGAAAATATTTTGCTTATTGAATAATAGAGGTCTTCCAAACATTGATACATATTGTTTTTGCATTGAAAAATAGCATTTGTTAATATCACCATAATTCTTTTCAGGAAAGTATGTATTGGGAAACCATAAAACAAGGTGGTAGATTGAAGGTTTTCAAAATTCTAATTTTCTTTTGAAAGCTTCAGTTTTATCATTTGGTGGCAAACATTGTCACTTGTTTCCTGTATGAAATGGCAGCCTCATTGTTCATTTTTGAGAAAGCCTGCCTAATACTCAGGTCTGGATAACTTGCTCATCTCTCAGTTATTTCAAGTAAAAATTGATGTTCTTTGAAAAAAGTGATTAGTGTAGCTCACAACTGATGAGACACTGTAAGATACACATACGTACGGTATTAAAGGAAGCACACTCAACTGTGGACATGTAATACAATTTTTACTGCTTCAGAAGGAACTTTAACCCGAAAGTCTCAAGCCTCCCCCGAAAAATACAGTGACTGCAAGCGCAGTTCTGGTCACTACCTTGATCAATCTGAAGGGCCAGCGGTTTCATCCACTATTGTTTTTGCACCATCAGTTTAAATGCAAACATAGTGGAAAAGCAGATACCATCTTAGTGTTATTATGAAAATAGTTTTGATGTTGTGGACACACTGAAAGCATCTCTCAAAATCTGAGGGTCTGAAAACTGTGTTTTTTAGGTTCTTCTGTTGCATTAATGGACTTTTGGATGTTTTATCCTGGAGAGTTTGGGAGAGTTGGGCTGACTGCAGCTTCTACTTACAGAAACTCAGCTGTGGACTGATTATGTGAGGTGCTTGGGTCACAGGGGTAGGACCTACATGAGTGAATTAATGCCATCATCATCAAGCCTCCTGGAGCATGTTGAAGGTTGCGAGGGAGAAGTTGTTCATTTCTGCCCCATACCCTATGCTGAGATGTTGTAATCAGAAGGGGACTCCCTCATCAAGGGGTGTTGTGTCTACCTCAGAAACTTTAAGGACTCGTTCTTTTTTTTTTTTTTCTTTCAAATGTTTTTATATTTTTTTTGTCTGTATCTTCAAGCTTCTTTACCATTTTCTCTTATAAAACGGCTCTTCTGTGACCTTTTAGTTCTCAGTTCTGTTTATGTTTAAATCTGTTATGCAGCTCTTTTATTTCTTTTATATGAATTTAGTTTCAAATTTATTTGAATTTAGTTTCAAATTTATTTTTATCTTTAAATTTTTACCTTTTCTTTATTGTAATTTTTTGTGTTTACTTTATTCATGTGTTCTGTATCTATAAATCACTCAGTAAAATTATGCTAGTTTTAATTCTTTGCCATCTGCCTTTCATTAATATCTTCAAGTGAATTTTCCTTAATATTTTTTCCTAACTTCTTGTTTTGTTTTACATGCAGGGGGTTGTAGAAATGGAGAGAGCCCAAACCCTAAGCAGGATTATTTGAGACTGATTGTGTTCAACTCTTCTGTGTTGTCCTGCCCGTTTCCCACAGACTCTTTTCCTCCCAACACTGGCTCTTGGGTTATTATTTTGTATTTAGAGTGAATGGAATCTTACAGGACATAATATTTTATGTCTCTCTTCTTTAGTGCTCAGCACTATGTTTGAGACTTATCTTTGTTGATATAGGTAGCAGTTGTCTGTGAATTCTTGTTACTGCATTAGCATACCTAGTTCATTTGTCCATACTAATATTGATGATCAGTGGAATTGTTTATACTTGTTTATAGTTTTGGCTGTTTCAAATACTGCAGCTTAGAAGATCTTGTGTGTGTGTGTGTGTGTGTGTATAGCATTTTTACTGCATTGTTTTTAATTATATAGATGTTCTTATAACTTAGTCAAATAATCCCTAATTATTAGGTGTTTAGTAAGTTGGGTTTGTATCCTTTTTTTTTGCAGTTAAGCAGTTTTTTAGTGATAATAGGAGTGAATCAAAGTGTACATTCATTTAGTTAAGTTATGAAACTAAGGGAAAATAAGATGGACCAGACTCTTAAATTCCTGTTTCTATACCATATTTTTATTTTTAATTTTTTCATTTTAAACATATTTTTTATTTGTTAAGGGTACAGTTAAGGGTTAGGTTTACAAATATGCATCGTTCAGGCACCCTTGTTGATAAGGGGTGTCCCCCGTCCCCAGACAGATATTGACTATCGTTAGTCCGACCTCCCTTCC